AACCAATCAACCAACCAACCGTCAAAATTTCAATAATCTCAGCGTGAGAAATTTGCTTATTGCCATCAACGTCATACATCCTGAACGCCCATCTCAACTTATCTTCCTTGGTCCCTTTGTTTTTGGTGTTCAGGGTTATCAGAAATTCTTTGAAACTGATCTCACCGTCTTTGTTTTCATCGTAGGCTCTTTTTGACGCGGTGTAATTAAATTAATTAAGGTTATAATATTATAATTAGTAATAATTTTATAAATATTTGTCGTCATTTTATAATAAATATGGATAATTATGGTTTTGGTCTTGGAAAATTTCGTTAGAGCGATAAGTTTTATTAATTTTTATTCTAGTTGACTTGTTTATTTACTTATATGTTCATTCATTCATTCGTTCATTCGTTCGTTTTTTCATTCATTCACTCATTCATGCATGAATGAATTAATTAATTAATTCATTCATTCATTCATTCACCTGAACATGTGATCGGTGAATTCCTGAGCTTCAGCGTAGTTCTCAAACATCTTTGAATACGTCGTCAGAAAATTAAGACGGGATATCTTGCCTTGTTTAAAATTTATTTTAAATTTATTTTTAAGAATTAGTAAAAATTACAAATTTTAACGAAGCTTCTGCTACTACTGCTGCTACTGCTGCCGCTACTACTGCTGCTACTGAAGCCCTGCTGCTGCTTCTAAGAGATTACCATTACTCATTATTTTATCTTGCTTTAAAAATTAGGTATGGTACTACCACTACTACTTTAGTTACTACTACTATTGCTACCCCTACTACTGCAACTACTATTATTATTATTACTACTATTAATCAAAATAATAATTAAATTGAATTAAATAATAATAATTAAAAATAATTAAACCTTTGGGAAAGTTGAGTAGAAAGCTTTTATGGATCTTCGATATTTCTTCGGGTGTGTAGCGAACGCCCTGCAAGATGTCGCTAAACTCACTTTTTTTAATCTTCGTATTATCGTTACCCATGACGTTGTTGTTGTTGTTAATGACGTAGTTGATGACGTAATTGATGTAGTTGTAGTAGTATTAGTAGTTGCTGTAGTTGCTATCGTAGTTACTGCTGCTGTTTTGTTGTTGCAGTTGTTGTTCAGGTGCTTTCATTATTTATATTAATTTTTAATTTTATTCTCCGATTTTGAAATTTAAAATAAATGAGTGAAAAAATGAGTTTATTCTTAAAACCATTCATTCATTGTGATGCCTTTTTTAAATTGCCATATAATTATTTAATATTGAACCCTTTAAAGTATCATCAACAAATTGCAAAACGCGCCCAATCAACATTTCTGATGTCATTTTAAATTTATAAACATACGCAAATG